GTATTTGTTATAAAGACGAGAGAAAATTTAATTATATATATATATATATATATCTTTTCGTTCGTCTCTCTCCCCATATATCTCGTTCACCATTCTCTTCTTCTCGCCTCTATCACTTTCTACAAACACAAATAAATATTTTTGTATTTGTATAAAGTGAGAGAAAATTATAATATATATATATATATATATCTTTTCGTTCGCCTCTCTCCTCATATATCTCGCTCTCCATTCTCTCTCTCGTTCTCTCTCACTTTATACAAACACAAATGTATAAATTGTGTTAGTGTTTGTATACAGCGAGAGAAAATTGTATATACAAATACTTATTTTTCGTCGTATACACTTATAATTATACAATATAAATCTTTTCCTGCCCAGTATTCTTTTGCCTTTCTCTCTTCCTCACTTTATACAAACACAAATTACACAAAAAAAAAATACTTTCTTAGTTGTATACAGATTTCAAATATATACTTATACATTGATTCTTTTGTATAAGTATACCGAAATATATATATTAATAGACATATCAAACATAAAGTTTGTTATGGAGCGCAAACTATTGTTATATCATACAAATATGATTTTCATATTAGCTAAATCTAAAATTTACTCTAAATAAAATAGGATAAATCTTAGAAATCACTATGAAATTACAATTTATTCCTCTTTAGATTGTAATTACATCAATCCCTTAAAAATTAACACAAATTCGATACACTAATATGCAACTCGAATACATTAAAGAGTATCTCTGATACATTGTAGCATAAACCCGATACATTGTTTTGTTCATACTTATTTTTCTTCACTTTCATTATTTTGTTCATACTTATTTTTGATTTGTTATAGTTGAGCTCAGAATCTTTCAGAAACAACATTTTTTTACTTCGATACAGTAGTGGTAAGGTCTGCATAAACTCTACTCTCCCCGAATTACACTTGTGGGATTTCTCTATGTATATTGTTGTTATGAAACTTTTCGACATAATTGAATTTCTCAGACTAAAATATCAATTTCGAACACTAGAAGGAAAATCAAAGTAATTTCTTCGATAAATCTGAATTTTCCTTCATTGAATTTTCATTTTGTATCGTCTACCAATAGAATTTCAATGTAATTTTACAAAAGTGGAATACGAGGGAAGTAGAGTTTTAGTAATTCTCAAAACTAAAGGGTAAAACTTGTACAATTCTACAAACTTATAACTAATTTTGATTCCATAAAATAACCGCCAATAGCTAAAACCCCTTACATAAAACCTCACAAGCTCAACAACAATGGCGAAAAGCTCAATAACAATGGCGTTTTACAAACCATTCTTATTCTTCTTCAGTTCTCTTCTCTATTTTTCTACTGCTCAATCTCCGCCTCCACCACCACCTCCACAATCGCTAATTAACGCCGCGGAGACTCTGTCGAACTCCGGCTATATTTCAATGTCACTCACACTTGAGCTCATTGCTGATACTGTTATCTCACGGGCTACTAAAAATTCACTTACTGGTTCTGCTCTCACCATTTTCTCACCACCCGATTCATCTTTCTCCGATTTTGGTCAGCCTTCACTTTCTCATATCCTTCTCCATTTCTCCCCTGTTTCGATTTCACTCTCTTCACTTCAATCCCTTCCGTTTTCTTCAAAAATACCTTCGTTATCACCTTCCAGTTCACTTTATGTTACGAGTGTTGGTTCTGATTCGCGTGTTTCTATCAACAATGTTGAAATCGTTGGTTCACCGATTTATGATGATGGGTATGTAATCGTTTTCGGAATTGAAGATTTCTTCACCCAGAATTTCACTCAGCCGGAAACTAATCGGAACCCGAATTTCAAATCGAGTCCTCAATGTATCAGGTTGGATCCATTTTCTCGGTTTTACGAGGTGTCGTTGATGTTGAAATCGAAGGGGTATTTGATTATGGCTTCGTTTTTAGAGTTACAACTGATTGGGTTTTTGAAGAATACGGAGCTGAAATTAACAGTGTTTGCTCCAATGGACGATGCAATTGTTGGATTTTCTGGGGATTTCCCTGTGTATCAGCAGCTGTTTTTGAGGCATTTGGTTCCCTGTGTACTGTACTGGACTGATTTGAATGAAATGGTAAATGGAACTGAGTTTAAGAACTATGTTAATGGGTTGAGTTTGACGATAACAAAAGTGAATGATGTGAGCTTTGTTAATGGAGTCGAAATCACTTACCCTGATTTGTATTACAATGATTGGGTTGTTGTTCATGGATTACAGAGCTTGATTCCATTACCTGATGAAATCGATGGTGAAATCCATGAAGATCCCGTTAAACCCGAGGTTGATGTCTCCATCGCCCCTGATCGCAGTGAATTCTAAGGTATCTTTAAGTTCATTTCGAGCATCGTGTTTGAATGATTGTATCTCTCTCTGTGTGTGTGATCATGGAAATTGCTGTTTCTGGGAAAAGTTTATTACACTTCTGTATATTTTCGTGTTTTTGAATACGATGAAATTGCTCGAATAGAATCCAATATAACTCCTGTTTGATCTTGATAACGTTCAGTTTCTGCAATGTAACCATGTTGATCCTTGATCATGCTCGAGTTTTAGTTTTCGAGGATCAAGAACTTGCTTGGTATGAGGTTTGGACCAGCTAGAGACGATGTAAACGTGCTTAGGGAAGTGTAAAATAACAATATGAACGAAGAAACATGAAAAAAAGAAGAACTACGTCTCAGTATCAAACAAGTTAGGATCGACTATATGAATCCTGTAAGCTTATAGAAAGGGGGACAAAGAAAGAAAATGGACATAGTAAAGCATGCTAACAATATTGAAAACAAAAGCTACGTCTCAGTATCAAACAAGTTTAGATCGACTATATGAGTCTCTAACATCCATGTTTTTGAAGCTCGTCTTCATCCAACTAAAGGACTTTTCCTTAGTTTCTCAAGTTTTCGCCATAAAGCTTTAACAATATCCTCTTTACCCTCGTCAAGAAGTGCACGTTTTAGGTTATCGAACAATGGAATTGGAGGTCTCATGCCCATATCAAGCATTTCTTGAAAGTATCTACAGGCATCATCTAGTTTACTTTCACGACAAAAGCTGTTAATCAACGTGGAGAACGAATGCATTCCAGGAAGAACACCGTTAGCTTTCATCTTATCCCAGACCTTTAGAGCCATATCTGTCCGTTCCTCGTTGCAGAACATCCTTACCATTATCTCGTATGTGCTCACAGTCGGTTCACAGCCAGGATCATTGCTCATTTTCTGAAAAACCGTATAAGCTTCACTCATTCTTCTGGCTTTTATAAGATGGTGAAGAATGATATCATAAGTTCGTGTATTTGGACCAATCTTACATCTCCTCATCTCATCAACTAGCCTATACGCATCGTCCATACACAAAGACCAGCAATAAGCTCCCACCATCGCGTTATAAGTGAACACCTCAAGATCAAAGCCACTACCCTTATACAACTTGAAATACTTAAGAGCTAGAACCAACCTTTTCTCCGACCCCAAACCATTTATCAACGTGCAATAAACATGAGGCGTCACCTTAATCTTCTTCCTTTCCATTTCGTGTAACAACTCAATCGCCTCATCATACTTCTTAACCTTGCAATGAGCATGAATCATGATCCCGTAGCTAACAACATCAGGCTCAATACCATCAGCCATCATCTCGCGATAAACTTCATTCAACCTCAACAAGTTCTTTTCTTGACCCCATCCTTCTAACAGTATCGTATACGACTTAATATTAGGCTTAAATTTCCTATTCTTCCATTTATCAAACACCTCTTGTGCATTCCCAACATGCCTAGACTTGCTCAATGTATCCAGCAATCTATTGAAATCTTGCAATTCATGTATCAATCCATACTTCTCCATCCTCTCAAACGCCTCGATAGCTTCTTTAACCTTCCTAGCACGAGCAAATCTCCGCGAAACGAGTGCAAACGCTTCTCTACACAATAACCCTTTGGTTTTCAATTCATTAACCAAAATCCAAACCATCTTAAATTGCTTAATCTTTCCTAAAGCTTCAATCAAACCATGATAACTCTCTGCAGTATGAACAAACCCGTTCTGCTTCTCAGCCCAACGGAAGAAAGATAGAGCTAAAATCCCAGAATTGCTGAGCTTCTTTATAACTTCGTTAACTAATAAAGGACTCACATTGACTGAAGTAGAACTCAAAGCATCAGCAACATTGGTGTTTTTCAGTAAGATTTTGCAGATTCTTTCAGCTTCCTGGATAATTTCTGGGTTCTGGGGATTGGAATTGAGATGGGTATTCTTCACTGAATCGTGATGAATTGATCTGTTTAAGAGTAAAGAAGTAGTAGTACTGGTATTACCAGCAGACATTCGAAAAAAGGAGATTAATTTATGGATTTGGGGTCCATTTTTTATGGTTTTTTTGGAGATTAGGGTTTTAGGGATGTAGCTGAGAAATCGATGGGAACCCATTTCTCTAAATTTACTGTTTGGGTTTTGAAAACTGAGAAAATGGCGGACGGAGTGGAGAATTAGGGAAGATGAAGCAAATGAGAAGAAAAAAATTGTTTCCTTTTATTATTTTAAGGAAAAAAATGATTTTTCATATACTATGAATTATAAGATTACGAGTTCAAGCAATAAAAACAATTATTAACGTTTTATTGTATGGGCTTTCCTTTGGATTATGCTAACACAAAATACTTTGTATACTGAATTATCGCAAATATTGTGTGTCAATAAGTTTTTTTGCCCTCTCTAAATAGTTGTTTTGATGAAAAATAATAAGAAACAATTTGAGCTCGCTTTTACCCTTCTACACTAAATTATCTTCTTTTTCTTTTTTTTGCAAAATTACTCAATTCAATTCGAACTGAAAATCATAGTGTCTGAACCGACTTCCATATACCTCGACTATGTTCACAACTCACGAGATACCTGCCTTCGAGAGGCAGGCAGAGTATCAACTGGTAGTTCAATCTACCGTTTGTTGATACTGTTGTTACAGATATGTCTAGTCAACTATTAAAACGCGTATAAAAGGAGATACAACAATAGTAGCTACATTTACAACCAACATATAGTGTAACTTGGATAGCATTTGTACCTGACTTCTGAAGTATAGCAAAGCTGAAAAACAAAGTTCACAGAGAACTCAATAATCGATCTATTTAAACTGTGTGTAACACAGTGTCCAGTGACGATAAAACTTAAGAAGGCATACATATACGAGATGTGAAAACTCATTAATAACTTACAATAAGAAAAATATAGACGGGGGTACAGTGGAGAGATTACTCTTATTGTTGGGAGACAGTATATATCGTGGCTCTACGATTATGTTGTACAAAGGCCACAGCTCAATCGAAAACTTGGAAAGAGCCTGTCGATGCTTCTTCCAACTTGCAATCTCAAAATGAACACTGGCGAAGCGGATAACGAAGAACATATCTCCCAATAAAGAATTGTAGACCAAAAATGCATCTAAGCTGAAAGTACACAAACCTGGGCGTAAACTCAGGGCTAGTAGAAATACCAGACATTCAAATCATACTTTGCTCGTCATCTGCATTGATTTGATTCTGAACTCAAATCTTGAAGCAGTCTTTGTACAGAATCCCCTAAATATTTTACTTGGGGTCCAGGTTTCAACACGTTGACATCACCCCATCGGGAACAAGGATCCATCCACCAATTCTTGCGACCGATGCACCATGCACCAGGTGTCACTCTGTTAGGGCTGCGCTTAAGGATATTCTGATCAATCATGTCAAGTACTGCCTCATCTCTATTAAACTGTCTAGCAAAAGCAGCTCCACTTTGCGCCATCAGATCGTAATCAGAAGTGTTAAGGAAGAGAGGCTCCATCTTAGGGGGGTTATCCCAAACCATATATCTCATGTCACTATTAACTGTCGTATTCTTAAAACCCGGTGAATTGCAAACAACAGAATGGAAATAGACTTCTTGTGACAAAACTGAATTAGTAAAATACATTAAAAGCGTTCTAGGAAGGTTGTCCCATCCAAAAACACAGAACTCAAGAAATGGTCGGCTCAAGACAACCCAAGGAGAACCTGCATTTGAAATTTTACGTACCTCAGTCAGTCAGCAATATTTGAAAAAAATGTGTAATAGGTTGACTCAATCACAATGCAGTATGAAGAAGAACTCTACCAGTAAAAACTTTGAAAGCCTCAGGCATTGGCCGCTTTTCGGTGGCATAAAAAATTTGTGTCTTCCGTGCTAGGTATAGCCCTGGATCAACTACTATGGGTTTTACACGTTGACCCCTACAATTCCATTAGACAACAACTTTTCAAGATTTTGGACATACAAATGTATGTGTTAACAACAACGAAAAAATAGAAAACAAAATTTTGCCTACTCTTTCCATCCAAGGTCGCTTGTGTGGTCGATAAAATTTACATCTCTACTGACAGATGAAAGGACATGAGATAAGTCTGAAAGCAGAGTAAAAACCATGTCAGAGTCAGAAAAATGAGCAACAGACCACAGATACTATGTAGTAGTAGTTGTTATAAACGCAAGCAGGACCTAGAATCAACATAACAAGGCAAATCTCCGAGTAAATATGCAACTGGATGTCTCATGCACGATGGTTCAATATTCATCAAGGAAATTCCTGGATGATTCAATATGCAAGGCCTATCCTTATCATTTGGCATATCAGCAGACTGTAATGGTGATATAAATTTAGAGAAGTCGCCTGTCCATTCTTCAAAAAGAACCCTGTCCTAAAACCCGTTTTAACAGATGATTTCTAACTTATCATACACCCTATTGTTTCAGGCACTTGGATTATTGTATTATTTTTGTGGGAGTGACTATTCGTTTTTAGTATGATTTGTTAGTCATTTTGTCTTGGCTTCTTCACTCCCGTTGTTTCTTTTTCCGAACTTCTTTGTAATGCTTTTACTTGAGCAGAGAAACTATCGAAAACAATCTCTACCTTGTTGGGGTAAGGCTTGTCTACACACTACCCTCCCCAGACCTCACTAATGGGATTATATTGGGTATGTTATGTTTATTATCATAGACCCTATTATCCTCCGCACCCTTCCCCTCCCATCAATTGAGGAGAAACTATCGTTTTACCCCCTCTCATCTAAATTGTTTAGGAAAATAGAGGAATACTCATTTGCTTCCCAGCTCTTCTAACCAATTCGTCAATCAACTAAAACAAAATCCTGAACATAGTTAGTGCTTTTCATCTTATTGTTTAGAATAACTCCACCAAAATGTAGACAGAAGTTATTCTACATCTCTTACTCCGGTCGCTATTGGCAAGACAATATGTCTAAACAAATATCAAGCATTCAATAGACTTCCACTACATGACTCGGACTCGAACAATACATTCATCACGATGTTAATTGCAAGCGAACGTTCCTCTCTTGCTTCTACAGTTCATTAAGCAATTACTGATAAAGCTAAAGTTATATTTCTTCGAGAAAAAGTTGTTGGGATCATTTCATGGTTATAGACGTAATGATTTTTTTCAAATCTGTAAAGAACAATAGCCTGAACCCACCCAACTAGTCGTATGTACTTGGAAGGCCTTTTGACCAAGAATTATGATAATAAAACTAAAGCTACTTCAAGAACATATCTAATAATTACTTGGAAAATTCCTTTTCTGCACATGGCTTCTGTAATTGAGTGCATTCAATATATTTAAATTGATACAACTAAAAAAAAAAACTCCATCACATGGAATAGATCTACCACCAAATATTAGCAAATAAACAGGACATGAAACTTTTACATCGCT